ATAAGAATATTTCTTCTTAAAGCTTCCCTTGAAAAAGCAAATGTGTTTGGCATGAAGCAGGACTAATTACAATTCTGCTAGCGCGATGCTGAATGGAACAATATATAATAACATTTTTAAAAAAAGATAGTTTAGGTCAATATCTTTTACGACGTGCAAAAACAACAGTCTAAAAGACTGTGGCAGTTGGCCGATAAAGGAAGAAAGCACGCTGCCTCCCCACTCTCCACCCATCAGATAACCTTGATTAAGAAATAAAAAATGAAAAAATAGAAATTAAATAATGAAATACAATTTTTTTTGTGATGGAGTATTTACAACAAAGTATCAGGGCCACATTTTCAAAAGCTCATTAAATTAATTACTGGATTAAGTCGTTATTAATAATGACGAGAATAAATTATGAGATTTTTGAAATACGAGATTACAATTTTTTTAATGTCAAAGATAAAACAAAGTAAAAAATTATTTGTATCTCAGATATTATAGATCTGACCGCTGCTCTGTGTATTGTTTTGTTTGTCTTTCAGGTGAACACAGATTTCATAATCACCAAAATGGGAAATAATGTACCAAAAGAAGGTTACTTCCACGACAGAGTGAGATGCATCAAGTGTCAAAAAGTCCTGCCTCCATGCCATTCGTTTGATAATATATGTAAAGTTACTATTCATGGCCGATATGTGCATCAGTTCAATGGAGGAGAATACTACAGACCAGTTGGCTACAATGAATCGTATGAGTGCAATTATTGCTTTCATAAGCCAATCAGGGACCGAGAAAGGATGCAAGAGGAGGAACGGAAGAGAAAAGAACAGGAAAGGAGGGAGGAAGAGGAGAGGAAGAGACAGGAGGAGCGAGAAGAAAGACTGACTCAAAGACTCTTGGAGTCACAGCTAAGAGCAAAAGAGCAGCATGAGGCACAACTACAAAAGGAGATTTCAGAGGAGCACGAGTCCAAACAAAATATTGTGAGAGCTCATCTGGATGAATTTGAGAACGACTTTGAGGACGTTGAGAGGGAGGAGCTCCTGCAGGTCCTCTCGTTGAAATGCGGTTTTAAGGTTTCAGATCTCAGTCTCCCTGAGCTGACCGCCGAGCAGCTGGGAAAGATCCTGTCCGCTTTGGACAAACTTCTCTTTGACGAATGGATCGGTGCTCTTCCATCTCTGGGCACTCTGCAGCGCGCTCAGGTGTACATCACCGAGCTGTGCGCCCTGTCAGTGGAGATGTCTGAGGGAGTTTCCCTCCAGAGCATCTGCAACCAGGTGCAGTCTCTGGTGGAGTCCATCAGCCAATCAGCATCGGATGTTTCTGAAAGCTTCATGCTGACTCAAGCCCTGTATCTTACCCTGATGCACTTTTTCAATGACAGAGGCGGCTCTGACACCGATGGCGTCACGATAGCCAAAAAGTGGGCTGATATGGAGCTCTCCTCTGAGGAGCTCTTTGCTACTGAGTTTCTGAGCGTGCTCACAACCTCCCTGCAGAGTGCAGTCAGTAGAACATCTGTGTACATTTTAAAAATGGAAACCCAGTGCTTGGAACTTCTCTTGACCAGACTCAATGATAATGAAACACACTCAGAATCCACCGAAATGATCATGAAACTTGTGCAAATGAGCCAGTGGACCCCAACAGAAGCACTGACTCTGCTGAAAGCACTGACACAGAAATGTGAGAAGGACGACTCAATAACCAGAATCCTCGTCTTGGTACAAGTCTATGACATTTCACCAGAATGGAAAGATGAGTCTGGACGCTCCCTCATCCAGGCCCTTGATTCTATTGACCCTGAAAAGGTCCCTCTGGATTTCCAAATGATGCTCAGAAAGAAAGATGAGAGCGGTCTGACTGAAGCGCTGGCAGAGTTACAGATTTCACAGGGTTTAGATGATTCTGTGATTAATATGATAAAAAGCATTACCACTGGTGTTTTGAAATATTCAGAAAATCCACCAAAAAGTGCAGCACCTAGTAGAGATACTCTAAAATGTGGAGCCTTTAACACAGAGGACTTACAGAACTGTCTGTCTCAGCTCTGCAGAGCAGTGTTTGACACCAAAGGCTGGTGGCCCACAGTGAGGCACATGTTACAGTGGTGTGGGCTAGTGCTGAGGGAGAAAACCGGGGTGCCACAGCTGGTTGGGGTGGTTGAAGAACTGTGTGCCATAGCCTTGTTTTCAGCCACACAAGTCTGCCTGGGAAACAAAGTGAACATAGTGCTGGGTTCAGAATACCAGTCAAAGGAGCAAACTGAGGACTGGTCAGACTTCTACAGGAGTCTTGGAATCTCTCTCAACACCCGCACCGGAGATACTAACTCATCATTCGACGAAGTCTACAAAGCAGACATTGTGCACCTTACACTTGATGTCTTTGTGTCAGACTACTTTCAACACGGAGTGAAGGTGACAGAAACGGGGGTTCCTCATCCTGCTCGAGGATTCATCATTGAAGAGCAAAGTTTGAGCACATCTCACAATCTGGAACTTTCAAGCCTCAAGAGCAATGAATCCCTGATGTTTTCTGTGGCAGTGCTGCAAAACCTGATGAATAAAACTCAGTATCAAGACATGGAAACCAAACAAAGCTTGATAAAGGCTCTTTTTCAGGTGCTCCACAACCTGAACCAAGTCACTAACACTGACAAAAAAATGGCCACCACTCTAAAGAAGATCACTGGGAAGGGATTGCCAGCTCATGAAGACTTCATTCTGACCTTCCTTGAGAATTTCCTTGCAGTGGTCAGTAGTGAACCAAAAGCTCAGAAATTAATTGAATCTCCTGCTTACAAATGGTGTGTGGAGATTTTATTTACCTGTGTGGCGGAATTCAAAGATTCAACGGAGGAAACCAAAGAGATATTCCAGATGGTTGCAAACCTTAAAGCCCGAACTCTGTGGTCACCAGAGGGGATGTTGAACCTCCTAGGAGCATTGACTGACCATCATCATGACCAAGGCTGCATCTCCATGATGAAGATTTTACACTTGATGGCAACATACCAGGTTTCTTCCAAGTGGACGGATGAAAAAAATCTAACTGTCCTTGAGCTTCTAAAGTCTTTTGCAACAAAGGATTTGATAAAGCATTTGGAAAAGAGCTTTGAAAGTGATGACTCAAAAGATGTTGAAACACTCTTTGATGAAATACGTCAAATGAAAGACAATGATGAAGAAACCCTTAAGAAAGCATACGATATAGT